TATATATATATATATATATAACAGTGTATAACATATAGAGTATATATTATGTATAGTATACCGTGTAGTTCCACTGTGCTTACCATCGTGAACTGAAAGTGTGAACATGTCTGTGTGGGTGTGTGGAAGAGTGCCGATTATGAAGTGTTTATTGATGATGGCGGTTGTCCAGAACCTTTTTGACGCATGGTTCCATCTTTATTCAGGCCTTTAATTTTACCGCCAGCAGTACGCGAGGATCCAGCCATTATTGTCGTGAATGTATGTAAGTCACGGCAGCTATACAAGCTTCAAAGTGTACGTTACCAAGCGACTAACAAGCGATAATTATCTCACAAGCCGAAAATAACACGTTTTGGGCCAGGCCCTCATAAAGGCCCTCCAACAGAGGCCCTACAGGCACATTTCAAAAATCATATTTATGTCTGTCATTTCTAAAATTGAAAATTGAAAAAATTATTTTTGGCAATACCTCAGCCCTAAAATATATATGTGCCCTCGCCATGAACTACCTATGCCCGAAAACGTTTGAGTTTAACGCTAACGCATCGAAAAACTGTGTGACATTGAATCCTGCTGCTTGACATTGTACTTTTTCGTTTTTTTTGAACAAAACATAAACCAAAAAAACCCATATTTTTATTAAAAAGTGATAGATTGTTGGAGAAAAATGGAATTCTTAAAGATTGATTATTCAATTTATTTATTTTATCATTATTCACATACTTTTTGTTAAAATACGTCAACGTCATTTAACGTTTTACGATACGCTATACCTCGTTTCGTGGCCAGAAATTATAGACAAGGTGCACAATGTAGGCGCTGTCTATATCATAGCGAAAAAGTTTCGGCCAAATTCTGGTTTTAGTATTTCTAACGTTTATAATATAAAAGGTTAGCGGCTTGTACATAAATACTACAGAGAGCAAACATACTGTAACTACTGTCAAGATGTCGCAGCGTCACAGTTTTTTGCATACAGACGTCAAACATTCTGAAGCACTTCACAAGTTCACAGTTCAGAACTTCAGTGTTCACAGTTCATTGAGTTCAATCAGTGACAATATTTTCTTTTTGAGAAATATGTGTAATATAATATTAATAAAAGTGTGGATAACAAAACTGAAATGATTATGCTTGCGTTAAACCATTTACCGCTTGTTAACTGTTGTCTGTGACTCTGCGACACTGTTGAATGTGTAGTATGTATGCACAATTGCACATACATAGCCTACAAATTTTAAAACAGTATTTAGCAAGAAAAAAGCAATAAATACGCTCAAATGTGATATTTTTTGTTTTGTTTTGCATCGGGTTCGAATAAAACCGTTATAAGAATTGTTGAACAACTTGATTTTTGTAGAAACATCGCTATGATTCCAATGGATGAGTTCTTCACTCAAATCGATTACTTAGCTAATATAAGCACCATACAGAGAAGGAGCGGTGTTTCTGCGATGCTTATTTTTACAGTCAAGTTACTGGGAAATTTAGTCATGCAATCGATAGCGATTGCAAGCAATGGTGTATGATGGTGTGATTGTTGCAAGTGGAACTTGTGCCAACGCGTTATGATCGTATTTTAGGGTTGATATGATCTTATAGACAATCACTATCAACATAAATCAAGTCCATATACCGATATTTTTAAATGGTCTAAGGCTTGCGCGGCAGCCTGTAGCCTGTATCTCGTGAACTAATTAATAGAGAGATATTTACTAGTTTTCTCGAATATTAAATCTGGACTCTGGAGAGATATGAGATATCTTCTAGAGAAATTGAGCGCTTCACTTTGCTAAACCAGACCAATGCGATCAAATCATCAGAGTACAAAAATGCCCGTGAGCTGTTCCATAATCCATTCTATATTGGTCGTGACAATAGTTTTGTATATGTATCTATTTATCTATATATACAAGTATATGTATACATCTAATATACATATATATATATATACAATGTGTGCGTGTGTATAAATTTATGCATATATATATATATATAGTCGGTGTGTGCGTGCGTGTGTGCATACGTATGTGGTTATGTGTGTGCGTGTGTATATATCTGTTG